AGAGAGAGAGAGAGAGAGAGAGAGAGAGAGAGAGAGAGAGAGAGAGAGAGAGAGAGAGAGAGAGAGAGAGAGAGAGAGAGGGGGGGGGCGCGGCGCGTGTGTGCCTGCGTGGTTGAATGTGCGTGCGTGCGGTGTGCGGCGGTTAGTGAAATTAATTAGAGAAAGGCGCTTGGCAGGTCGGAACGGCCGTTCCCCGCATATTGCACGCATGGTGTTGACACCAGCCCGAGGGTCAAGCTATTATGGTGTGTGCGTGCGGCGTGTGCCTGCACGTACGTGTATTTATTAGTCTCTTCATTGATTTCAAGAGAATAATTAGCTATGCAATGGCGTTGTCGTCATCATTGGCGGCTTCCATTGCTCACTACGTCTCTGAAAGGGTTTGAATTACTTACAGGGTTCCCCGAAGCGTGACAATCACGTGAAAACATATCACAAGTGCAACCGTGAAGGTCAAGCATCAGGGGTCGCTAGTCAAATGGACATTGTCCGTTTCTTCTATCGGCCCTAAGATTTAACATTATTTAACAAGATTAAATCCAGTTTGATTGCACTGGTCCGGTGATGTATAAAAGTTGTTCTGTATTAATTATTTTACTGAAACGATGCGCTTTTAGTGACGCCATGGATTTATTGCACGTTTGTTATATCGCAAGATAGAAGTACTGTGGTGCCCATGTTTGTCATGTAAGATCATCGTGAAACAACTACATTACGTTAAATTATGGACAACTATTATTTTATTGAAAGCAGCATAAAATTGACTTTCTAATGACTCTATAAAGGATGGTTATGCGATAACCATGTAGGAATAGACGAGATACTGTGCACAACATGTATGTTTTAATGTAAAACAAATTCCCGCAGTTTTTCACCGTAGATTTCCAAAAGTCGATTAAAAAATCTTGTAGCACGTAACGCAAACGGTGTTAGTTCGTAGATTACTCAAGAGCGTATTAAGACCTTCTTAATACGCTCTTGATTTACTCCATGTCGCCTCTGGACCATCTAGGAGGAGATAATTATTTGCGTCCCGTCAGAGTATTAATTATCGTATTCGCGCCATAGGGACCTGGTAAAGGCTCATTACTGTCTGCCCATAGTCAGTATAGACCAGTCTTAATTATTATTCATGACCTGGGGTCATCGCACGAAAACGAGGCTAAGCTAGGCAATTTTGTAAACAATGGCTGCTCAGGCAGGCACGCACAGAGGGGGTACACGCACGTACACGCGGGTACACGCAGATACACGCAGGTACACGCGGGGACACGCAGATACACGCACGTACACGCGGGTACACGCACGTGCACGCGGGTACACGCACGTACACGTACCGCACGTACTCAGCGGTACACGGAGATACACGCACGTACACGCAGGTACACGCGTGTACCACGCGTGTAAGTGAGTTTACCTGCGTGTACCCTGCGTGCACGTGCGTGTACCCGCGTGTACGTGCGTGCACGTGGGTGACCCGCGTGCACGTGCGTGTACCCGCGTGTACGTGCGTGTATCTGCGTGTCCCCGCGTGTACCTGCGTGTATCTCCGTGTACCCGCGTGTACGTGCGTGTATCTGCGTGTACCCGCGTGTACCTGCGTGTATCTCCGTGTACCCGCGTGTACGTGCGTGTATCTGAGTGTACACCCTCTGTGCGTGCCTGCCTGAGCAGCCATTGTTTACAAAATTGCCTAGCTTAGCCTCGTTTTCGTGCGTGATCCCAGGTCATGAATAATAATTAAGAATGGTCTATATGTTATAGAGTATAGCTATCGACTGTGCTATCGATACAGTAAAAACCCGCGTATAAGAACCTGTATTTTTCCAGGTTAGCCTAAAAAGGTTCTTATATAATTGGTGTGTACTGGGAAATTAGGCTATTTAGGTTCTTAAATAGGTTCTTATTTTCTTAAGAAAAAAATGTGCTTGTGGCTGGTAGAATATTGGTGCAGTCCCTTGTTTATACAAAATATTCATATAATTATGTCTAAATGTTTGCAATCTAGACAAATACAAACCCTATTCTACGTTCTTGTTTCTTTTCATGCCCTTTATACCTAATAGAGTATAGACCACCAAGAACTTGTTTTAGTTAATTTATGAATTTTAAAGTGTTAACTGAATTTTATTAAATAAGAACCTGTTTCAAATTTTAGGCTACAACAGGTTCTTATGTCAAGGGGGTCTAAATGGAAAATCCTAACAGGTTCTTAATCACTATAAGCGGGTTTTTACTGTACTCTGCGTTGATATGGGTGAACTTCGAACGTTATCAATTGTCGTGGGACAAAGTGACCTCTAGAGAAGTATTCATGTTTCTCTGCATTGTTGTAACGGTACTGGCAGTGCGACCAATATGCTGAAATAGGTCTTATTATACTTCCTTCGAGGTCTTTCTTGAGGTGCAAATGAAAAGCTTGAAAAGGCGAGACAGTGACTTCTCATAAGCGAGATGTGATGTACGACAGAGACCTTTCTATGGGCACGTTTGCGCCTGAATTAATGTTATTGAACCATGAAATGGCGTTTTCATTGGTGTATACATACGTCCACCTACCCGTATTGTAAACGTTGGAGTTTCATAGTGCATCTACTGAGATTTATTTCTCTGCAATGTTATAATCAAACTAATTTGCCACACGAAAATGAAGACATAACTAGATTTAGCACCATAGGCATAACTGATTCTCTATAGTCCTACGTAGCGGAGGCAGTGAAGGCCGTAGCGCTAGACCTATAATCCGACATTACTCCTATCTCATGTATAATAAATTGCGTTTGTCTTAGTTTGTAGGAAAAACTGCAATGTAGCTTTTTTGATTATTTTTTAAATAGCATTTGTGATAACAATGGATGCAATATTTAGAGGCAAATTTGTAGACCCATCGCAAATTTCTCGTGCTTTTAGCGCGGCCATATTGATTTTACGCATGTTCATTTGTTTCATAAACGCCAGCAGAGATTTTATGTGACATACAACAGTAGCCTTCCGCCGAGTGTTCACCAATGTTGCACTATTTCGTCTCTGGAAAAGGCCTTTTGTATTTTTTTTGCGGTAATATTCAGCACTAGGGTTCAGTAATTTGCATAATAGGCCTATGCACGCAAGGTAGATGCCTCGTAGACGTCTAGAAAGCATGAGAGGTGAGATTGGTCTTGTCGCGTAGTTGTGCCATCGCGTCAAGTGGCGTAGCCATGGTGACCATTCCTCCATTTTTGTGTTTGATACGGGATCCGACTACATGCCAAAAAAATCTCGAAAACCTTCTGGCAAAAGTTTCGAGTGAAGGTTGGAATTTGAATCTGTAGTCATTAAGTGTGAATAAAGTGTATGTCGCGTATGCACCGAAACGATCTCGAGTATTTTTAATTAAGTTCTGTACGATGCTTATTCAGGCATGCTGCATATGGACGCCCTCTACTGTTGTACACCACCTATATTACTGGGCAACAGGGTCTCGTACTGGTAACGAACTCAATAGCTTTCACCTCATGGCGTCAGTTGGGATTAGATAATTTAACACATGCGCGCATGTATCGCGAATGTATTGTAAAGATTCTATCACAGAAGAATGACACGATATAGCGTTGCTAACCCGTATCACATATAGTGCTATGGAAATGCTATGATTACTCGAATCATTTGTGTAACGAAAACGAACGGAAAACGATATATGTGCGATGCGTGCGTCCGTGCGTGCACGTAGACCTGCGTATGTGTGAATGGACTGAAATCTCTATTCTGGTCGTCTTTATTGTACGTAGAGAAAAATAATGTGCCTAAGCATGGTAATTAACATGCGTATATACATGCCTCTCCCCGCGTTCGTGAAACCCGATATGTGCATGCAGTTTCCACGTAGACTCCTTTTCTGTTGCGTGCAAACCATTTTTATCAACGCGCAGTAGGTATATTGGAACCTGCCGCAAATGTGTTTTGTGATAGGCCATTGTACGATGTGGAGTATGACTTATATCCTACTGTATATATTTATGTATATTGCACTCATGAACTTGTACAATAGATTAGTGATCAATGATTCACAAGACCCTCTTGTTCGTCGCTCATGTTTATCGTACAGAAAAGTCGCGCTAATTGACCGTGACCCCTTATTTACCCCGCCCCCCTCCCATAGCTACTACCCTGCTAGCTACTACCCACGCGACCCCTCGGCTATTTTCTCCATCCTATCTACTACCTCTGCGACTCCCTCAGCTACACCCCCTACTATGTGCACGTGAGTGAGGAGTATGTGACATTGCGCACTCATTACATCATCAAATCGACACAGTTCTGCCTGTATGATCCGCTTTGTGCGTTTGCTGGCCGAGTAAAGATTACCGTGACGAGTGAATATGTAAAGATTCACATGTAAAATCTCTATGTGCTTGTCCGTGACATCGTCTGCCACGGGCTGCACAGCCCTCGTGATGGAGATTCCCACTAATTAGATCTCCCCCCCCCCTTAGTTTCCCACTGTAATACCATATAAGCAGGTGCTTA